TGTCGACGAAATGACCCTGTCGACGAAATGACTTGTCGACGAAATGACCCTGTCGACGAAATGACCCTGTCGACGAAATGACCCTGTCGATGAAATGGCTTGTCGACTAAACAACCCTGTCGAGGAAACGGCCTGTCGACGAAATGACCTAGTCAATGAAATAGCCTGTCGATGAAGTGGTGTCGATGAAATGGCCTGTCGATGAAGTGATTGTTGATGAAATGAACCAGACCCATATTATACTTAGGAGTGAGCAACGGCCCTGAATGTAATTCGGCTACGCATTACAACTACTGAGAGAAGCAGCAGTTTATTTTGGATGACATGGATTTCCTGCGCGTTACTTTTAACCACATACTCCTTTTTTGAAGCTTCTTAGATATGTGATTAACTCTAGGTTTACGGGACGCGTCATTTGACGCATTTCGAGTTTTGTAAGGAAAATTATAAAACACGTTTGCATTTTTGTTTTATCTCTTGTAATGATTTTTAACCATTGATTGAAGTAAATATATATTGAAGGCTATTTTCTTCAAAAGCGTTGAAATTCTGTATGTGGTATACCTATCTCTACGGATATGCGTCAATTTGACGCGATCTTAATTTAGACAAAACAAGCAATTATCACATCAATAATAAATAGGAATGTACCGACAATACTTCGATTCGTTATCTCAAATAACGCGAGCGATAAACAACTGTTGCCGATAAGCAATAATAGAAAGAACAAAAGCAGAATGTCAATTAATGTCAGATTTTGAAGGTTTCAGTTGCTTAGTTCGAGTATTGAAACATTAAATACTAGAATATTTCATAAATATATATCTCATATCTTCATTGTTTATAGTATATAATTGCATTGCTTTCTAAGTGCAGAGATACCATACCAATTGCTTCGGACACGCCAAAATAATTAAAAAAAACGGTAAATAACTACTAAGTAAATTTTTCTAATATAAAGTGGTGAATTATATAAGTCTATGAATTATTTAGAAATAGCGGAGGATTAAAATCTACTAAATTGAATTTATTAAATTAAGAATCACAATTATATGTATTCTTTCATGTGTCATATTGACGCGTGTTCTTAGAGATAGGTATATAAGAAACGTCCGTAAACCTAGTGACGTATTCGTTCATGCGTCAAATTGGCATGTGTTCGTAGAGATAGGTATATAAGAAACGTCCGTAAGCCTAGTGATGTATTCGTTCATGCGTCAAATTGACATGTGTTCGTAGAGATAGGTACATAAGAAACGTCCGTAAACCTAGTGTTAAAGCTTCTTAGACCTGTGCTTAAAATGATGGTAGAAAATATTGAGGATGTAGTATGAAAATACTGAGTATGTTTCTCGAGTATGTAGCTAAGAATAAATTAAACTCACGCGCCATCAGATTTCTAATTCTAATGCGATTGTAGAAGATAAGGAGGAAGTAGAAACCATTGCAGAGTGGGATCCTTATGACGACACTGTTAACGTTATTGAATCCGGCATAGAATATGTTCTGATATACATGATGATATGACAGAATATTTTCTACGTCTTCCATAGCATGTTTTAAAAAGTTTTTTATTGTGTTACAGTTTTGAAATGCTCTTGAATGAATTATGTTAACTTCTCTTATTAAAACGTAATTTAAAGCATTGTTTCTAAAAATAAAAACCTTTATGTGTAAAAAAATATTAAATAAATTAATTCAATAAAAATTAACAATCAACACAGTTTAATCACAATAAAAAATAAAAGAAATTATATTAAGTTACAACGTAGAAAGACAGACAGGATTAGCGACAGCAGCATTTCAAAAAACGTGTAAGTTCACCGATCAGCAAGCCGGAATGAATGTTTGTAAATTGACCTGTTGCCTTCTTGAACCTAACCTTCTTGATTCTTGATTCTTGAACCTAAGGTTTGAACACAAGAGATGTTGCCATCTTATAGAAAAGTCATTTCCTTGAGGGAAAATTTTTGCACTGCCACCAGGCGAGCAGAGTTCATCGCCATCTGGTGAGAAGGTGGTTCACCACATAACATTTAAAACAAGTTTGAGGAATGCGTAAATTGATAATGAGTTATTCATATTTATCGCAATGAGTATAACACATCGAAATTTCACGATCAACGTATATCCGACTTTATAACAGGAGTATTTATGTAAATTTTTGGGATTTTGAAAGATCGACTTCTATACCGAATATGAGGTAGATGTTCATTTTATTTGATTATTAGAAGTTCAATAAATACCAACATATTGTTTAAAAACATCGATTTAATTTTAAATCGAAAACGTTTGTTAATTAATTAAGTACTAGGAGGCTTCGCCCCCTGCTCGCTGGTGCTCGCCAACCTTCACGTTCTAGGACTCCTTCTGAGGGGATGACCTCAAATATACTAATTTATTACAGACGATATTTTAAGTCATAAAAGAAGACACAAACACGTAGTCTCTCACAATTTACACAATTTTGTTTCAATGGATTCAAATTTCTAACCTCCAAAATATAGGAGGTAGTCGCAATCTGCGAAATATAATCCCCATAGTTTAGTCAGGATAGCGATCAAAAGTTTAGACCCCCTAATGTTAATTTTATTTTTTGCGCATTTCGCCATATCTCGAAACTTTTTAAGCGAATTAAAGAATTTTTTGCGCAGAATTATAAAATTCGTTTATCAAATGATAATGTCAAGCAGAAAATAAATATTAGTAAATATTTATTATTTTTAATATTTTATATAAAAAATTTATATAATAATACTCGAAAAAAAAATTGAATTGTGTGGCATACGATTTTTTTTACATTATTTTAAAGCATGTAAATTTACATAGCAATATTAAAAAAAATCGAATGAAATTGATTGAATAGTTCCTGCGAAATTGTTTCGACTATTATTAAATAAAATTTTTTCTATATTAAATATAAAATATTTACTAAAAGTTATTTTTTGCATGGAGTTATCTTCGGATAAACGAATTTTACAATTGTGTTTATAAGTTCTTTTAATTGGCATTAAAAGTTCTCGAGATTAAGGCGAGATACGCAAAAAATAAATTTAGCATTAGGGGGCTCAAACTTCGGATAGCTCTTCTGACCAAACTGTCGGGACCACATTTTCCAGATTGTGGCGACCCTCTATCTTTGGGGGGGGGGNTGGGGGGGGGGGGGGTCATAAATCCAAAGCTGTCGAAAAAAAAGGTATACTTATTCAGAGAACGTACAATTTTGTATCTGATTTCGTAAATTTAAATATCGTCTGCATTAATTAATTAGCATACCTGAAGTCACCCCCTTAAAAATCATTAAGATGGAGTCCTAAGACGTGAAGATCCGATTAACAAGTAAAAAGTTATTCAAGGTGGTCTGTTTTTTGGAGCACTGTAAATAATTGAGTGATAGGCCTGTAGTTCAATAGCGTGAAAAAGAAGTTAAATCCCTTTGTGGCTTTGGGATTAGAATAATTGTAGCAGTTTCGAAAGAACTGGTCTAGTAGTTCAGTTTCAAACAGGCATTTTAGACAGTTGTTGCACACGAGGATCAGACAGCAGCTTAATCCTTTTGTTCCTGAAATTACATGAAAGGAATCACCATGAAATAACTGGCCCTGTTTCTTATGTTTAAATTGGGCGCCAGAGGTAAACAAAATGACTGGAACTAAATTGAATTTTATATATAAGTTTTCACTACCACTAACTTGTAGTTTGTTGAAAATGTAGTTTGTTCTGAAATGTTACCAAAAAAGCGGCGCGAATTTCTGCGATTATTTCTACAAACTATAAATGCTTATTATTACTTAAAATCCGGCTTGGATTCCTCGAATTATTCATTCTCAGTTACTTCAGAAGTTACTTAATCGAACATGAGGGTTAGAAAAACTGAAATTCTAAATCCTTTTGATAATGTAGCTTTTATCAATAGGACACGCTTTTTTATATTTAGAAAGGCTGCTGGAAAATTAAAACTTAACATGGAAATGATAGACTCTGCTTCTTTTATTTAAAATTTGGTTGGAAAATACCTTTTAGCTGAAAAGAAATATGCAGGGTGTTCCAAAACTCATGGTACATACATTAGGGAGTGATAGAAGGCTACTAGACAATCAAAAATCACCATACAATCCATGGTTGGAACGCAAGTCGTAAAGCACTAGAGTACGAAACATGCTGTATCACAAAATGATGGATAACAAGACAGACAGATATTGAATAAAAAGAAAATGATCAAATGATCATTTTATTCAACAAAATGAAATGAAACAACACTATGTCCTCCCTCACCAGAACTGCTTAAAATTGAAGCCCGCACCGTCTAGCTCGTACGACTTGCGTTCGAATCATGGATTGTATGGTGATTTGTGTCTGTCTAGTAGCCTTCTATCATCTCTAACGCATGTACCATGAATTTCGAGGTATTCTGTAAGAATTTTTTTTTATCAAAATTAATATTTTTACAACTTAATTTAATAATAAGACATTCAAACTTTGCTCATTTTAAAATAAAACCACTATTTTATGAATTTATGTATTTTTACAAATTTATTTTTTAAATGTTTACAATCACCAAGAAAGTTTAAAGTATGCATTTACAAGAATTAGAAAACCATTCATTGATAGATATATTGTTTGATACATATCGGTAAACAAGTAGTTCACTTTTTTAAAATTATGTGTAGTTCACTGTTACTTTGCTTTTTCGCAACAGAGTCTACACGATGCACATGCATAAGCAATCAAGCTTTTTAATGCCAATGATTAAATTTTCCGTATGACGTCTTTCTTGGAACAGTTAAAATGGTTATTGCGGGTACGGATGCCGATGGGACGGGCACAGGACCAATTGATATTCCATCAAAATCTCCACCACCTCCCGAAACCATCACAGCAGCGGGCGACACCTCCAAGAGAAACAGAAAATTGAACAGAAAGAATAGTAGTATCTTCATTATCTGGAATATTAAAGTAAAGTATACTATTCAGCTGCACAAATGAAGAGAATTTTCATGTTTTGTATATAACTCCTGAGCAAGTAAAATGGCATTTGATATAAAGGTATATTAAAATAACACGAAGATAATTATCATTTAAAAGTTATTATGCAAAGGCAAGATCATGTATAATTCCCATCTGTCTCGAGAGCTTTAAAATATGTTTTTTTTAATCGGATAAGAAACAGAAAGCAAGATTATAAATTTTCAATGATATACAAGCCTCACACTGTCGTTTTAAGCAGGAAAAAATACAGTTTCGTTATTACAGTGACAATTCGTTCAGTAATACTTTTTTCAGAGCGTAGGTGGTTGTCGCAGTGTTGTCCCCAGTTGCAATTGGACTTTTTCAGAGCTGGTCAGAAGATCATGGAAATTATGGTTTGCACAATTTCGTTACCGACGACATGATTGCTGCAATGTGGTTAGAGCTGCGCATAATGTCAGATATTCTTTCTAGACAAGCCTGCATCCATCTCGATCGGAAGTTGTATGAGCTTCTCTAGTTTTGACTGAGGATCGAATCCCGGTCTTTTACAATAGTATATGGGTGATTCTTTGCAAACATGACAATTCGGAACATAAAATTTCTTCAAATTTAAAGTCTTCGAAATAATCTAATTTTTTTGTGTACTTATTTAGTTACATTTATTAATATCTTACAGACAGCAGAGCAGTTTATTAGCATTTGATCAAGAAAAAAAAATAAAATAGAAATTCACCAAGTTTTGAATTCCAGGAAAATGACATATTATCTCAGAAGTTTAAGAAACAGCGTTTTTAAGCTAATAGTAAGTAATTCAACTTAGCCTTTATGTCAGATGAACTATGAATTACTTAAATTAATTATTTCATCCACTGTAGAAAGAATCAAAAAAGTTTTTGTTGCTGATACGTGCAGAATAAAATTGTGTATAATAATCAATCTTTAAATAAATAAATAACTTTGATTAAATTCAAGCATATTACAATCTCGTTTAAACTTGGTATTAAGTTAATATTTGCTTTCCCTCTTTACAGTATACTATTTATAAAATTTTCTGGTAACACGTCAATGTCCAGTGATTCAGAAGCCAGGATAATGACAAATTCGCCACTTTATAGCATTTAACTTAAATTTATTTGGCCTAAGACGTTTACATTCGGCAGAAAACAACAGGATTTCTTGAAATAACTCATATCAACCTATGTAATTAATGATTTCAAGATGACAGGAAAAGGACATCATAAAAATCTTCTAACCTTGAAAAATTGTTTGAAATAGATTTTGAACCAGAAAGTTGGTTCTTTATTCATGTAATAAGACATGTTCAGATAGGATAGTATTCTAACCTATCTATTAACATAAGATATTGATAGTTGACACTATCTATTTTGGTTATAAATCACAAAATATTAGTAGTCAGGAAAATGACAGATTTTCATGTGACAAACAAATTATTGCCAAAAAAAATTATTTTGAACAAAGTATTTGTAAATAATACCCTCTGCGTATATTCTAGAAATGCTTACAAAGGTTGAGATAAAAAAAATTAGGTATTGCAAAATTAATGGGAAGTTTTGAAGCTAGTTATTATTGGAAATATTGCTTGTGACATACCAGGAAGATGACATTTTGAAATTCAATTGAATTTTTAAAAAATACAAAACAGCCAATGCAAATGCAAAGCCATTTTAAAATTCTAACAGCAATGCTATTTATTAAAATTTTAAAAACAAAGTTCTTTTAGTAGTATAATATTAGATCTTAGAGCAAGCGGCTGTAAAATTTCATATTTCATATATGAGAATATGAATATATGAATAATAGTAGCTCAGTAGTAATATATATATATAAATATATATATATATATTTATATATATATACTGATAGTGTTAATTTTTATTACAATACTGATAGTTTAAAATAACATTTGTAAATTCNACCAAGATATCGATCGATACCATAAAAACCTAGCGTTGGGAAGCTGAAAGATTTCTGTGAAAGCGTTAGAACACACAAAAAAATATCACAAAAAAAAAAATAACAAATATCAAGATTAAGAAAGAAAAATAGATAAGAACTTTTCTTTGAGATGGTTTAAATATTTTCAATAATATTTTAGTTCAATTTGGTACCAAAAAAAAATTACCTGACTGTGAGATGGAATTTGAATGAGTATATAAGATTGAAGTAAACTTAATGGAATGACAAGCTGCTCCAATCAGAGTAGTACTTAAAATTTTGTTTAACCAATCATAGTCTTGGCTATTTTATGTTGTAAAAAGCAACTAACTCATTTAAAAGCAACTAACACCCTTTTCGATATAAACCTCGAAATATCAATAGAGAAATTCTCGCATTCTTACTTTAGATAAATGTAAAAATTCAATGTGTAAAAAATTCAGTTCATAATGTGAAAAGGTGTATACAAAAATTCCCTTCAGATTATAACAATCATTGTACATAAAAAAATAATAACAAATATTTATTATTATTTTTTGTAATAAAAATCATGCACTTGCAGATAATATCTTACTGTTTTGGATATTTATATTTAGTTAATAATAATAATTTACATTTACGCCATCAATGTTTGAATCTGGTTAATAATTCTTATTTTAAAAAAAACGCAATCCTTCTGTTACCTTAATTTATACTTTAAATAAAAATATTGATCTAGGTCTATGACTGTATATGTCATTTATTGTCAACGAATTAGTAATATGTACAGTGGGCAAAAAATAAACGAATCACCCAAACTAACTTCTGGTTTAATGATTGGCTTTCCATCAACTAGTACAAAATTAGACACAAAAACGTATTTTCTCTGAATAAATGTATCCTTTTTTTCGGTGGATTCTATGCTACCAAAATATAGGAGGTAGCCCGGGATATATAGTCTCAATAGTTTGGTCAGGAGAGCAGTTGAAAGTTTTAGACCCCTTAATATAAATTTTACTATTTGCGTATTTCAACATATCTCGAGGACTTTTTTTAAGAGAATTTAAGAAATTTTGCCCACTATTATAAAATGCGTTTATCCGAAGTTAATTCCACACAAAAGTAATTTCTAATAATTATTTATTGCTTTATTCAATAATAGTGGAACATTTTTGGAATTGGAAGGTATACAAATTTTTCATCGTTTTAAAGAATTTATTATTAGTAGGCAGATTACGAAATTTTATCGAAATCGGTTCAATAGTTCCTGAGAAATCGAATTTTAAATGTCTGGCTGTTTTAAAATTCAATTTCTCAGGAACTATTTAACCGGTAATTTATTAATTTTATAATAATATTCAATTAATATTTATTAATATTAATCACAAAAAAGCTTTTGGGCAGCTAAATGTTTCATTCGGGTATTATAATTTCTTACAGTAACATGTCCTGGAATGTAAGTAACTACTTTGATATTTTTCGAGCCTTCAATATTGGTTTGTATTTACATAAACAAACAACACTTTTTCAGGAACTAATTCTTTTAAGGAATATAGGTAGTTAAGATTCCTTCGAGAAAGCATCAAGTACAATTTTTTTTTATTCTTCTAAAACTAATATAAAGTTTAACTTAGGATTCAGAATTTCTTAGGATGCATCATTTTAATGCAAACATTTTTGTGATACAACGCAAAAATATTTTTATTGTTTGAATTGTTTCGAGCGAAAAATTTTTGAGATGTTTTGCTCGTACTATAAGAAGCATAAAAATCAGGTTAATGACTAGAATAACTTTTATAATGACAAGCAAGTTATTTAATATTTTAAATTATTATTATATCAAGCAAATATGCCTTTATTAAAATTATGCTAGTTCAAAAAAAGTAAAAAAATGAAACAGAACTAGCATAAGAACTAGAAAAATAAAACAGAATTTTTACATTGAAGGAATTTTATGGATTTTTATTAAAAAAATTATTTTGCCCAAGAAAAATTTATAAAGTATAAACTTCTATAATGACAAGCAAATTATTTAATATTTTAAAGTATTATTATAACAGGCAAATATGCTTTTATTAAAATTATGCTAGTTCAAAAGAACTAAAAAAAACAGAATTTTTACATTGAAAGAAGAACTTTTATGGATTTTTAAAAAAAAAATTATTTTGACTAAGAAAAATATATAAAATGTTTACCAACATTCAAATGCTAGTGTGAATTCAAGCAATATGCTATACTCAAATCAATTACCATGCTTTAGCTTAATAGGTTTATTAGTAGTTGAGTAATCTTGCGAAACAGGTGAAAAACATTGAAATTGAGAAAAACAGATTTAAAGACAAAAACTTAGAATAAATAACTTTAAACAAAATATTTGAGTTTGAAGACTATTCCAATTTTAAAAATGAATAACTTTCTGTTATCAGTGAGTGGGTTTTAAGATTTTTGAATATTACCTTATACTTGTGTGAAATTGCTCAGAATAATATTTATCAGAATGAAATAGATTATAATGTGTATTTTTTCTTAAATGTCAAAAAAATTTATTAGAGAAAACTAATTCGATTTCTTAATATGTTTAATTTAATTTAAAATTGACATTCTGATGATTAAAAGGACAAAATCTTACCTTCGAGAACATTTCGCTATTCTATTCCCTAGTTATCGTTTGTACGTAATTCCAAATACTGCCATTAAATTTGAGCTCTTTTATAGATTTTTAGAGAAACTCTATTTTATTTGTTTGGACTTTACAATATTATTGAAACAAGTTTCTAAATTAAAAAATTTGGCCTTGATACGAAGTCATTTCTAATACCTCCACCCTTAAAGGCATAAAAAAGTCTATTTTTATCTAGAAGTTGCACGGGCTTCAGATAAGTTAAAAATATTCCAAAAAAGAACTTGTTGAAGGTCTTAACAAGATATTAATAAACTGTATTTGTTTTGCCGCAGGAATAACTGGTTAATTTTAAATTCGTCATTTTCATTTAATATATGTTTATAATCTAATCTGAGATCTAATTTGAGGCCTTTTGAAGGAAACTAAGTTTGTATAATTATCGAAGTGTTAAGTATATACATTAGGCATAGATTTTGAAATATAATAAACATTGAAACAGGTATTTTATGATGTTTTCAATTTAAGTTAGACAAAGTTAACTTTTTGGTATGACGTCATTGTTATTACATTTAGTTTTAAAAAATTTTTTAAATGAAAAAAAAATTCTCACTCTTCTTTCTTTTTTAGTTATTAGTTATAGTTTTGTATTATTTCTACCAGACTTTTCTGTTTATCATCCACAATTTGTAGATCATTGAATTTTTATTAATCAGATATTTTTTATGTATTTAAAAAAGAGAAATTTTTGGAATTTAACTAAAAAAATAAGTATTGGGATAAACATATCTTCAATTTAACTGGAAATTTTTTATTAAATTAATTATACTCATCGTTCTATGCAGAATAAAACCACGAAAATGTGCTCAACAGTAGCAAGACTTTAACGCTTGGTTTAACTAACGCTAAAATTAATTTTTAATGGAATAAGCGGTTTATGCATACAAAATTTTTTTCTTTTAAGGTAAAATAAAATGCATTTTGCTATCTTTGAAGTAAAAGAGAAAAAAAATCTTATTTATTACCGAAAACGGTGCAAGCGCCTAAATTTTGCTATATAGTTCCTGCATGTCAGTCAATTATTGTTACAATGACAAAAGAAATAAAACAAATTATAATGAATAAGTAACATAACTCGTTTTTATTAGCTTGGTAGTTAGTAACGTAATAAGTTTTGATAAATTATTAAGTTAATAAGTTAATAATAAGTAACATAATAAACATAGTAAGTTTTGTCTAAATCTGATGATAAAAAGGACAAATAGTATTCTGTATTTTTCTTAATCAATATTTAATAACAAATTAGATATTTTTAAAGAGTAAATACGTTCAAATAATACCAAATGTCTTACATATTCTGTAATTTCAAATTGTTATTTTTTAATCAAAAGATTTCTTTCTTAATATGTAAGTTATTTTTATAATCACATCATTTTGACACTACTAAAACAATATATAGGTGAGGTACTAATCAGCGAGCAGTTCCACATCCGCCTTCGCCTATATGAATTCAACGCTTCGCATTTCCACATTCATCTCCATCTGTATTTCCATCAAGTATTTACCGTTTTACGTGTTTGGTTTCACATGTAATGTTTTTCCAGGGTACTTTAACGCTGATGTAATCTGCTTATGAAGTTTTCAAAATGTAAGATGAACTACAACAAACTAACATTTACATGAAGGTGACCTACTTTTTAGACCTACAATGCGAGCCCTCGAAATATATCGACTTTTGCCATCTAAAAAAATTTTTTTAAGCAAATGAAGTCTATCCTTTGACTATCACTTTGAATAAATATTATTCAAATTGTCACTAAGTAATCGGGTTTTCGAAGCCGGGTCATCTCTTTGGAAAGCGAGCGCTTTATTCCCAGAGCCACCACGTCTCAAGTCTTTCCATTGACAATTACATTTTTCAAATTGCGACTTAGTAAAATGAATTTAAAAAAATAGGCCAGAGGGATCATTGAGGTTAAAGTTTCACAATTTTCTGATCAGCGGCATGATTATGGTCAGTGGTCGGAAAAACTACATTTTTGTAGTTAATTACAACTATTTCATAACGATTGTAGTTAACTACAGCTTCTTTATTTTAAATGTAGCAACTGCAAACTACTTTCGAAGTGTAGTCACTACTTTGCTACTTTTAAAAGAGAAACTTAACTGGAGAACTTCGCCAATAATCAATATGATTGTGAATCGGCTTGGTTAAATATGAAGAGATACCAAGAAGTTTTATTTCAAGTTTTCATTAAATGATTTTTTATTCTATAACACTTTTAATGAATTTTTTATTTAAACTTTCAAACTCTATGCTTTTCTCAATAGCTGTTTTATGCTTTTCTTTTTTATATTCTTCAAGAAATGAAGTACAATATGAAAAGCAAAAAGTGTGCCTCTCTGAATAACTTTTAATCTAATGAACGGATCTTCATATTCGAGAACTCAATCATAGTGGCTCGAGGAGATGACCGAAAATATGCCAATTAAGTAATGCAGTTGATATCTTAAGTTACGAAATCAGACATGAAAACAATTTTCTATATTTTCAATATAGTTCCTGTGAAACTGAATTTTAAAAAAGTCAGATATTTAATATTCGATTTCTCAGGTACAACCTGACCGATTTGTCACTGATTTTTCCGAGCATCAGATGTAAATCTTATAAACGCTAGGCCACACAGGCATTCTCATGACATACGTTGACGATCCCCCGAAGGATTTGCACCAATCAGATTCGAAAACTTTTTTACGCTTAAACTTTGTATCTTTATTTAACTAACATTAAAAGTATTTTCCAGGAATCGCTACAAAATACTGCTTTTTTTTGTATCGCACTACTCACTACACTAATTCTTTTAAAAAATAGTGAACTATACTACAAACTACGGAAAAAAGTAACGATTGCAGTAGTTTCGCTACTTGTAGCACTCCACTGACCACTGATTTATGGTAATGTGGTCATTTTGGTACACAGGCCGCATTTACTCTTCTGACAAGTGAAGATGAGGGGAGGGCTTCAAACGACTTCATATATATATATATATAATACTCAAATCAATTACCATGNGTAGACATATAAAATTTTCATGATTCAATTCTTTTTTTTTGTAAATTAAACATTATATATATATATATATATATATTATTACTAATTATTTTCTCTAAAGATAATTAGTAATAAAAAATCGTTACTTTTTCCCGTAGTTTGTAGTATAGTTCACTATTTTTTTAAAAGAATTAGTGCAGTGAGTAGTGCGATACAAAAAAAAACAGTATTTTGTAGCAATTCCTGGAAAATACTTTTAATAAGAGTTTGTAAAAAGAAAAGTTCATATATAATTAAATTATAGTAACGTCAAAAGCGTTTTTTTTTTAATTTTATTATTAAATTTTATTTTATTTTATTTATCTTTTTTTGTTATTATTTTTCTGCATGCTCTAAGTTCCCTGAATTTAAATTTTAAATAAATAAAGGAAGAAAAGTATTGTTGGTTTAAAATATATTTCAAGTTAATAACAATGGAAACTTAATATTCTTTTGAGATAAATTTTCAAGCAAAGTTTAACAATGAGGCAAATCCTTGTTAGTCAAGCTAACAATATAGTTCGTCCATTTTCTTCAGAACCAACTTTTCTGCGTCACCAATTTTTCTGGAATACCAACTTTTACCAACTTTTAACCAACCGATTACCAACTTTTCTGCAATCATGCCCAATATTTTCCGCTACATCTGGAAAAAATTGTAAGTAGAATATTTTTCTATTTTATCGACATTATTTTTAAAATTATAATTGTCTCAATCTAATTGCAACTCATTTACATCTTTTGAATGAAAAATAATTGTGTTAAATCTCTAAGCCATTCTTTAAGAAGCTTTGGAACTAAAGAAAATAGCATTATTCATGGTAAGTTTGAAGTTTCACCATAATGAATTGAAGAAAAATATTAAATGTAAAGAAATTAACTGAAAATTTATGACAGATAAAAAAGTTTTATTTTATTTAAAAAACAGATTCCGTTGTAGTTAAATAATTAACACTAAAACAGAAATTAACATTACATTTGAAATTTTCCTTAGTAGGGTTATGAAGTCCTTAAGAAAACCGCGGAGCACTCTTGGGTTAAATGCGTTGTATGAATAACGACATAATTTTAAATAGCATAATGACAGACTATGAAATATGTTTTGCAATATTGGTCAAAATATAAGTGAAAAATAACTACAGTGGAAAACAAAAGTTATTATTTTAGGGAGAGGAAAAAAGGAAAAAATGTAATAAAAACTTGGTTAATCACTATAGAGAGAGGCGAGACTAAAAAACATCACAGTCTGTGGTGTCAGGAATAGAAAATTAAATGCCAAAAACACCTTCTTGTTCCTTCTAGCAATCAAAGAGGTTTTTGTGTTTCGAATATTTGCTTTTTTAAAAAACGAGTTGAAAAAAATCTTCTTAAAGTCTACGATTCTGTACTGCTTAAATATCGAATTTTGAATTCTTTTGCTGATGTATTTCTACTTTGACAAGGATTCTAAAACAGGACGACAGGATTAAACAGGATTCTAAAACAGGATGATGATTGTGGGACATCAAATACAATAACTTATCGTAAATGTCAATTACTAATCAAGCAGAATTATTACCCTAAAAAGTAATGTTCGGAATGAAATGATTATAGAAGTATAAATTTTGCCTAGAAAGAGTTCGAAAAAGCCAAATGATAAAAAATTATTGAGGCATATTAATTTTTAAACATATAAAAACAATTATTCAGCTGAGCAACTAAATATATATCAATTGTTTCAATGTCCACGCATTGTTTGTAAATTCCTATAAATTAAAATAAATATTTGTTAAATCAATACGGTGCAAATCTTCTTCAAATTTAAAAAAAATCTGTGACTAACTGAAAAACCGAAGTAAATTTCAACGGAATTCGAGATTTATGAACCCATTTATTGCTTAATAATTAACTTTAAAACTCATTCCTTAGTGTTTTGCTTCATACATTTTTTTTTATTTATACTGTCTACTATTAAATTTATGATCATTATTATGTATTCCTTTTTACCTCGACAATGATTGTATTTAAAATTAAATCCAAACTGTTTTTTTTTTTGCTTAAATTATGTTTATTAATTTATGTAAAAACAGTCTTAAATTTATTTGTCAAACCAAATCATTGTTCAACCTAAAATTCATGACAGTGCAATGTATCTAAGCAATAGCACGGTAATCAGTTTTTGTTA